GCTAAACATACCCAGCTCCCTACGTCTCTCCTCATAGGGCATGGTTTCTCCATTTCGGTTGCCCTCCTTTGGACACACTCCAGTTTCTCAAGATCCTTTCTGAATTGTGGTGCCCAGAACTGGAGACAGTATTCCAGGTGAGGCCTGACCAAAGCATAATAGAGTGGCACTATTACTTCTCTCGATCTAGTCCAACAACTTGTTTTCACATTGGGCAATCCCATCATCCATAACCACCGCACCCAATGGAAGGGATTATGGGAGTTCCAAAAGCATAACATCTGGAGGGCAGGTATTAGTGTCAATGAGGATCTACATAGTTGCATCCCACTGAAACTAACACTTGCCTCTCCTAAAAGAGTTACACCAGAGGAGGGGATTTTGCTAGTATCTTGGCAGAAGGGACATATAAATTCTCTGCCTCTATCAAGAGCCAGCCCAGTTTTTTCCAGCTCCTACTCCTAGCATGGCTAGTTCCATTTTTAAAGTGCATATGAAATACAGAAATGTATGTTAACTAACAGATTTGCATTACTAAGCATCATAGACTAAGATCCAGAGGAACTATGGTCTGAAGCCAGGGACAAAATAAAAGAAGAATGCAGACAGACACTTTCAATAAACAAATAGAAAGAGGGGAAAAACCACAGATGACAGAAAAAAACACTACAAGCAATAAAGAAAAGAAGAGAAGAAACACAAAAGGGAGATAGGAACAAACTAAGAATTATGAATGCAACAATACAATGGCATGTGTGGGAGGATAAAGAAAATTACTACGACTAATGCAGAGAAATAGAAGACAACAACAAAAAGGGAAGAACAAGAGATCTATTTCACAAGATCCATGAAATCAAAGGAAAATTCAAACCAAGAACTGGGATGATCTATGACAATAAGAATAACATAATTCAAGACCAGGAAGGAATAAAAAGATGTTGGATGCAATGCACAGAAGAATTATACAAAAGAGGTGACAAAATGAAGGACACATGGAATAAAGAGCCATATGAAGATGAACCTCAAATTCTAAAAAGTGAGGTGGAAACTGGAATAAGAGAAATGGTGAAAAACAAATAACCAGGAACAGATGATATTCCAATTGAACTGCTGCAATCCACACTGAGAAAGTCAACTCTAGTGCTAAGGAGACACAAGAGACTGCAGCAACTATAGGACCATATAGCACTGATCTCTCATGCAAGCAAAATCATGCTCAAAATTCTGCAACATCCTTTGCAGACTGCTAGCAATAGTGCAAATTGAGTCCACTTTAAGGGTTAGGGTTAGGGTATCATGGGAACTGTATTTTATTGTGGCACCAGAGCTCTCTGACAGAGAAGGCTCAATGTCTCAGAAAAAAAAAACAATTCCCATGATTCCCTAGCACTAACTCTGTTTTCTTTTAACATGTTGTAACCCACCCCAATTGCCGAGCAGAGGGGCGGGCTATAAATAAAAA